ATGGTAAATCATCAATGTGAACATGATGGATGTTTTAACCGTACGTTCATTGCACCTGCGTACATCACGAGCAGGCACGAGCCATCAGTATGTTCCGGTACCTCCCCGTAACCCCCGTTTCAGCCTTCCTCCCTCCTTCCGATGTTATTAGGTGATTGTATGTCATAGATGTGAACATAAGGGATGTTTTAACCTAACGTCCATTGCACCTGCGTATACCACTGGCGAGCAATCCCCATCAGTATGTTCCGTTACCCCCCGTAACCTCCGTCTCGGCTCTCCTCCCTCCCTACATTGCAGTCTATGCCTCACATATCTACGCCAGACGTGGGTTGGCTAATCTTTAAATTTGAATGAATTTGTCTCTGTTTCTATAGAGTCATCGTTATATCGAAAACCGGAAGTTTTACCTGCCTTGATTCTTTTTCTCTCCTCCTCCTGCTGCTCTTACTTGTCCTCCTCTTGCATCTCATTTATTTTTTTCCCCCTCCATCTCCACTTTTTGTATGGTAGAATATTCAATCGATATTTACCAAGGACTTCATGAGGCAAAAATATCAAAGATCCCACCATTTCTGTTTCCCTTTCCCTTTCCTAGTCTCTCAGGCTATTTCAAGGAGGCTCAGCTTGCCTCTTCAACCTTTTTTTCCCTTTACCGACAAAAAAAGGCCAAATTGAATGTTGATGACAAGCAAGGATAAAAAAATCAACGATGATCGATATGCTGTTAGCGATTATGATTGGGGCTTGGACGCATATGTCTCCGCAATGACCGCAAGGAACGAAGTGAAGATGAGGGAGCAAAACAAAACGGATCGAGCGGCTTGGGAGGAAGGGGAGGAGAACGCCAAATCGTCCGACCCCTTTTCTTCGCCCGCTTCTCGTACCCCTAAACGACCCAGACTGAGCAAAGGCACGCATGGCATCGTCGCAGGCAGCGGACGAAGGAGCAGCATCTCACCTTCCAGCCTCCACGTCCACCTTACCTTACCACGTCATTCGCATTCGTCGTCCTCTTCCTCCACTCTTGCTTCCTCCGAGACAAACGGCCAATCTGGCTCCCTCCATTCGCCCTTCCTCCTTCCCCTTCTTCAGAAGTGTGGACTAGCTTTCGAGCAAAGAATCAGGCCCTTGATAGCTACCTACCTTTCTGCTCGTGACATCGTGTACTTCAGCCAGACCTCCAAGGTAGGTACAGAGGGGGCAGATGAGGGTGGGAAACAAGGAGGGAAGGGTGGACGAGTCTGGTAGAAGCCTCGGACTGCTCCTTTCCCGCCTCTAAGTGCAATCTTGTTATTCGCGAGCGAATGGAGTGAGGCAATCCCTTCTTCCTTCACCTTTCGTTGTCGTCGGGGGATACTTCCCTGAAAATGCGCCTCTCCCTTGGCAGATTGTTGTCGTGACAGCATGCTCCTCCCCGCTTTTAACTCTCCTCCCTTCTCCTATCCTCCCTCAGGGTTTTCTTCCCTCCAAGGGGGAAATTGCCTCTCTCCATTTTCGAGGACGCATTCCCCTGTCTTTGCTGCAGTTAATAGAGGCGAACCGGGCGCATTTTCGCCCTCCTCCCTCCTCCTCCTCTTCCTCCTTTGCTGCCACGATACATCCTGCCTGCCTCCCTGCTCTTTCCCCCTCTGCTCCCTTCTTTTCCTTCCACATCTCCTCTCTCACACTCTCGGTCAGGAAGCACACCAGGAAGGAGGGAGAAGGGAGGGAAATGTAAAATATGCAAGGAACATGGGGAGACTGAGGGAAAGGATGAGGGGGGGAGGAATTATGATGGCGGGAAAAGAACCAGACGAAGACACGTGGAGATGGGCCCCTGTGTGGTCGAGAATTGACCTTTCCCTCACCTCCCACCCCTCTTTTTCGCGCATTTTCCCCCTTCATATTTCCCCTCATCGTCATTAGGACCTCTGGACGGTCCACGACGTGAACATTCTCAAACATCTCTTCAAGCGCTTTCCTTTTCCCTCACTCCGCCAAATTCGCCTTGCCTCCTTGTCCTTCGGCCCCATGGGGGAGGGAGGGAGGGAGGGAGGGCAGGCATTTGCCGAGAGCCTACTGGCGGTGATCCCTGGTCTGAGGGTTCTGGAGATGGAGTGGCTGCCCGACAAGTCCTCGAGGAGAGAGAGGGAAAGCTGCGTAGCGCTCTGCTTGGAGGTAGGGAGGAAAGGGAGGATAGGGAGGGGAAGAATAAGAGAATAAAGGAACAAAAGGAGGAAGGGAGGGAGGAAGGGAGATAGGAAGATGTGCGTGCATAGCCATGCATTCGGTGCAGGCGTCAGGAACGAGGCTTCTCTCTGCACTTTATGTGGTTTCTACATTTTTCTTTTCCTCATCTTTTCCTCTCCCTCCCTTCCTCCCTCCCTCCCTTCCTCCCTTCCTTCCAACTCCCAACAGACTTTTAGCAGCTTTCCCTACCTCCAGGTCCTTCGCATACATTCTCGCAAGGTACCCTTTCCTCCTTCCCTTCCTCCCTCCCTCCCTTCCTCCTTCCTTCCCCTTTTCCTCAAGTCTTTCCTTCCCTAATTTCTCCTTTCCTTAAAGAGCAACTCCATCCAGCCCTTTCATCATCACAAACACTCCACCCCCCCCCCGGCGCCTCTTTAAGTCTCGTCCTTACACCCCTTCCGTGCTCCCTCTCCACCTTTTCCCCCTCGATACCACCTTACTGCTTTAGATCTCTGAGGACACCGTGGTTGCGTTGACCAATGGCCTTGACCGGATGCCCAATTTAACGACCTTGGAGGTGGGCCTCCCTCCCTCCCTCTCTCCCTCCTTCCCTCCCTTCCTCCCTCCTTCCCTCCCTCCCTTGCTCTCCTCCTTCAATCCTCCCTACGTTCAGGATTCAAAATGACTAAACATTGTGAGGATCTCCTGCTCCTATTTTCCTCCCCTTCTTCCGTTGTCCCCGCTTTAGCTCCGTTCTACCGTCCTTACTCAGGAGATACCTTCCCTCACCCTCCATCGCTTCCTGCACGCCCTGTTTTCTTCTCCTTCCTGTCGGACCGTTCCCTCCTTTCCGACTGCCCTCCTGCCTTCCTCTTACCCTTCCACCTCCTTGTCCACACTCACGCTCGTGGGATTGGGCTTGAG